GATTGATCTGCTTTTTGTTTGATCAAAACAGTGGCTCTAAGGGGGAAGGGACACACGCCCAGCCATCGACCGGTCCTTGATCAAAGGAAGACAGTAGGTCATGTTTGCAGAACGATGGCCAAAAAAAAAAAGAGAGATGAACTTTTAAAAATATAGATCTGGCTTGTTTTTTTCAGGGAGCTGCAGAGTTTGGAAAAGGTACTCGTTAAGAGATAGATCCTTCCAGCCACCAAATTAACTTTTCCAAACTGTCGGGCATTAAGTTGGGATCTTCTATAGATAAGGACTATTGTATGGCTGTTGAATTATTGTCCCTTACGTGAGATTAAATGGATTATATTTCTTTGTAACCAAAGATGCTACACTAAAAATGGTGTAATGGCCTATGGAAATAACTTCTGAAATTGATAAATTTTGGGATATAAAAACTGCCTTCTTTATTTAGGCTGGGAGTTGAGGGGGAAGTGTAGGAGGGGGCAAAAACCATCTCCTAAAGTCCCAGCCCCTATATTCTTGAAACCCCCAAAACAATAATTCTGGGGCCTCAAATTGTAATGTTAAAACCTTGTTTTGAACATGTCAAGATTTTGTGTCTCTTTCATATTGGGTTGTGTTGGGGGCTTCCATCGCCCTTGTTTTTTATTGCTTGGCCTCAACAGGAAGAGCAAGAGGACATCCGGTTTAGGATGGGACTTTGCCTGGGCATAAAACCCCCTCCCTGACAAAAGTAGTTCAACCATTAGCTGCAAGTCTTCTTTCTGTAGTCAAAGAGCTGGACAACAGACAAAATGTGTGTGAGAGACAATGGGGAAAAAACAGACTAGACAGGTTGCAACTTGGGGTGGCCTTGTAGGAAATGACACAACCTCCCATCAGAAGTTCCTGTTGCCTGAGGTGAAAGGCAAGATGGCACCCGCCCACCACTCCGTGCACAGAAACTAATTCAAATACGAATCCAGAGTTCAAAAAAACTCTTGGAAAAGCTCCTTTCTTCGACTTGAACGCCCAGAATCCCCCAGTCATTGGGATTCTGGGGGATGTAGGCCGTTGGGATTCTGGGAGATGTAGGCCGTTGGGATTCTGGGGGAGGTGGGCCATTGGGATTCTGGGGGGTGTAGGCCGTTGGGATTCTGGGAGATGTAGGCCATTGGGATTCTGGGGGATGTAGGCCGTTGGGATTCTGGGGGATGTAGGCCGTTGGGATTCTGGGAGATGTAGGCCATTGGGATTCTGGGAGATATAGGCCGTTGGGATTCTGGGAGATGTAGGCCATTGGAATTCTGGGAGATGTAGGACATTGGGATTCTGGGAGATATAGGCCATTTGGATTCTGGGAGATGTAGACCGTTGGGATTCTGGGGGAGGTAGGCCATTGGGATTCTGGGAGATGTAGGCCATTGGGATTCTGGGGGATGTAGGCCGTTGGGATTCTGGGAGATGTAGGCCATTGGGATTCTGGGGGAGGTGGGCCATTGGGATTCTGGGAGATGTAGGTCGTTGGGATTCTGGGAGATGTAGGCCATTGGGATTCTGGGGGAGTTAGGCCAGCTTTTCCAAGTTCTTCTCAGGCGCAGTCTGGCTTGACCCCTGGCTTCATTCCTCAATACCCGCTCTTCTCCCCTATGTTACATCCAGGCAGATTTTTTTCTCCCAGAGGTGAACTTGGCTGAACTCACCTCTTCGTGATAGAGCTGATGGGCACATCTCAAGCCAGAGAAATGCTGATTCAGGCAGTCATGCAACCTTACCCTCTCTGATCTGGCACATGATCTGCCTTTTTAAAAATATTCCACCTCCCTCTTTTTTTCTTTCTTTCTAAAAATAGCTGCAGGTACACTGATTCATTAAAATGCGTTGTTATCATTAATGTAGGTGGGCGAGCTGCCTTCCAAACAGGGCATGTCAACTTTTCACGAACTCCCAGAATTTGTTTCCAAGTCAAGCTCAAATGAATATCTCCTGCTTCATTAACTAGAAAGACGTTTCCGGGGCCAAGAGCAAGATCTGTTAGGCTGTTTCCATCTGATCCTTTTGGATCTACCCAACGAAAGCTTTGTGCTTGATGTGGACCTCCGTTCTTGTCTCTGGGTCTCTGGCCTGCGTTTCCATCTTAGACACCGGGGAGTCTTCTCGCCAGTTGAGCTGACTGGCACAGGGCTCCGCTCTTACATAACCCTTCTTTCAGCTTCTAAATCACCTACATAATCTCCAGACTTAGCATCATTGTTCCATCTTCGGTGACCGAAATTGCATTGTTTCATCTAACAACAAGGAAATAAAAGAGAGGACCCAATTAGGCCCCAGAAATGGAGGCGGGTGGAGGAGGGGCCTGCTAATTGAGCCACAGATTTTGCCAATTAACCTTGGATGCCTGGAACGGAGAAAGCATTCACAGCTCCGGTACAAAGCGTAAGGCCTTGGCTGGTGTTCTTCTTCCCGGGATGAGCTCATATTCTTCCCGCCTTGCTGACTTAAGGCCCCCTTACATAAGATCGGAGCTTAATATTGCAGTAAGAAAGCATGGGTTGCTGTTTTGTTTTGTTTTGTTTTGGTCTGTGTGTGTCCTGCTTCCAACACGCACACATTCACCATATTGTTTTCTGTCTTTTTGAACCAGGCATGCGAGCCCTGCTGGTTTCCTCCTGACGGCCGTTGTAGCGCTATGCTACACCATTGCACTGCTATATGAAGGGTGAGTCGGTCTAGTGATTGGTGACCAAGATAATTCACAGGCGACAGAGCATTGTCAAAGAAGCAAGCTGTTGCCTCAGATGTGAGTCAACTGTGTAGAGGGAGGGATGGAGAGAAGGAAGGAGCTGATGATAAGAGGAAGGAAGGAAGGAAGGAAGGAAGGAAGGAAGGAAGGAAGGAAGGAAGGAGCTAATGATGGATAGAAGGAAGGAAGGAAGGGAGGAAGGAAGGAAGGAAGGAAATTTTGTGGCATCTACCAGATTAAGGTGCTTGATTTGGCCTTCAGCATCCTCAACATTCATCTGATAAGGACAGCTGTGGTCCATAAACGATGACATCAAATAGAACTTGGTTGTCCTTTGGGTGCCACAGCTTACTGGCCTACACTGACTCTTGAAATAACCATCCCCTAGAAAAGTAACTTTCCCCAGTCCTTTGGCCAATGAGCAGACCCTATTTGATTGACAGCACAGCCTTGCCAGACAAAAAAACCCCCCAAAAACACATGTATGTCTGTAAGCTCCCTGGACGTGTTTCTCTCCGGTGCCCACACTTGGAGGAAATAAGCCTCCGTATCTGGTTTAATTATAGGTTTCCCGCTCGAGATATTTCCCGTTCATTCATTCCAGCGGGATCTGTGACAGACGAGCCGGGGGTTGAACGTCGATTCCTCTCCGAGGCACAGAGGAGCCCTGAGGTGGTGCCTGCTTTGCGGGCTTAATGAGACGCTGGCAAAATACCTGTCGCTGTGACAAGCCGGATCCCCAGCAAGCTGGGTACTCATTTTAGGAGACTCATTTTAGGAGACTAGACCCGTGTGGGACCCTGCTGAGTAGGAGCTGCGGGGGGGAGAGGGGGACATGGAGGCAAGTTGGGCTGATGGTAGCCCCTCCCAGCCAAGAGACCTATCAGTTGATGCCCCGTTTAGGTTTGGACAAGAGGATCCTGGAGAAACTCTTGAAAACTGTGCTTATCCTTCTGTGCTCCCCTCTGCCCCCGGTTCCATCTCTTGGTCACAATCAATGGTGACCTACAGAACCAACGTATATGGCTGAGCAGCCACCAGAGACCTTTCGTGGGTCTTCCTACAAAGCCCCCATGCTCCCGATGGTCTCAGGGGAAACCCTTAGCGTGGCCTTCCCTCGTTTTGCACCCTCCAAATGGTTCAGATTACCATCTCCCATAATCTCTGCTGGTGGGTTTATATTGGCGTGGCTACTGGGAGTTGTAGTGGACAGCTGCATCTTTGGAGGGTGCTGGCTTTTGGGGAAAACGTCCCCAAACCTCACAAACACAGAAAGCTGCCTTATACGAATCGGCACAATTGGTTCAGTATTACAAGCTCTGACTGGCAGCAGATTCTCTCTCGACCAGGGAGCAAAGAGCTTTTCCCATTTTCATTTCCTACCTTTCTCTCTTTCTTTGGTCCGCCCCCTCCCTTTCCAAAACTTTGGTCTCTTTTTTCCCTGCCAGGCCTTTTACAGAAGAAATCTACCGCCAGAAGGCAAACAGGCGCCTGTAGCTCCCGCCTTGTTACCCGAGAGGACCCAAGAAGCGCTGTTGCGGTTTGGATGACGGAAGCCATTTTGCCTCTGCAATTAGACCACTGGCGACGCGAGATAATGGGATCGGAAATGACCGATTCCAGCCTGACTTTTAAATTTCTTCTAGCTCTACAGCATCCTTTCTTTTAAAGCTGGAAAACTGGGGTGTGCGTAGGGGGCAAGCGTGGTTGGGAAGGAGGGTGTCCGACATTCACAAAGCCTTGACACCAGAAGCGCACAAAAGGGGGGGGTGTTTCTTTCGATAAGGACTCCTCGGCTCCGCCCCTCTCTTTCATCGGCGTCCATTAGCCCTGGAAGTCTGGATGTGTTGATTATATACGTGGGGGTGTCAGAAAAACAGAAAACAGGCAGGAGGCCTGGGCATCTTATGTAACTGTTCTCTGAACACACACACGTCTGCGCATTGAAACATGACAGATCATGTACAGGTGCGCCGAGCATGCGCCAAAGCTGTGCCACTGCCGGCGCATGGGAGACAGAGGTAAAAGAGCGTGGAGAAAGAGGGCTCCAGAGTTGCCGTTTACAGGATGCGCAGGTGGGGTTGGTAAAACTCAAAGCAAATCCTGTTCTTCCCGGGTTGGCTTGACCGGTTCGCGATGAGCCTCCTTCTCCTGGAAATGGGGCAGATGAAGGATCTTGAAGCCAGGTCCCCTGCACCAGCTCAACCTCCCACTGGGGATCCCGCAGGCTTGTTTTGCAGATCAGAACGGGGGAGAAATGCTGTGGGGGACGGGTCAGGCGCTGTGGCTTTGGCTGGGGGACCAGCGTCGACCGTGATGCTCAGCAACCGCCATGTTCTGAACAAAGGGCCTGGCGTCAGAGGAAGACGACACACAACACCTCTGTGAAGTAGCATTGGGGGACACGTTGGATGACGGTGGATTCTAACTCCCCATCAGCCTTTAACCAGCACAGAAAATAATGGGGATGATGGGGGGGTTTGTACTTCAATCCCATCCGGAGAGCCCTACATAGGATGTACTCGAAACATGGAGCACCCCAGCTCTTCAGAAACATGTCAAGGAGAGGGCACGGTCTCTTAATAGTTTAGGGGGAATTATTTTGCATACAGAGCGAGGGGTTTGTTTTTAAATCTAGCACCGCCTTTAAAATAGGTGCTTCCGCGTCCCATGTAATCTGGAACGCCGTGGCTTGCTGAATCTTTGCCAGTCATGGTGTCTTTTGTTAAGAGGATGGAAACGTTGCTCCCCCCTCCAAAAAATGTAACTTTTTCAAGCTCCCCTTCTACTGTTGGAAGCCGTTCCTTGCCCTCTAGCTTGCCAGCCTATCTGGGTTCCCTCTTCTGTGCGGGCTGACCTGTTCTGAATGCACACAAGGAAAATTTGTAGGTGGAGGTGGCAGGCGTGCTCTTTCTCTCTCTCTCTCTCTCTGTGGCTGCCACCTTCTGTGACATCACAGCAGCTGTGATGTCACAGAAGGCCTGGGGCTGTTTGGCAGAGTGGCAAGCTTAAGGGGGGGGGGAGAGATGATCTGGCTTCTAAGCCAGAGAGTGTTTCAGAAACTAAACTACGGGAGTGTTATCTTCACTTTGGGATCTGGCTGTCCTTACCTGATGACAATCTGGATCTTAGGAGAAGCCGATGTATTTCTGCACAGCGCAGTGTGGACACCATTTTTTTTTCTCCTTCCACCTACCCCATCTTGGCCCCCACAAAAAAAAAATCTTCAAGCCACAAAAGCAGTGGGATTAGGAGACTGGAGATGGGCCGTGATGTTTTTCCTCCTAGCAAAGTCCACATTTATGACGCCATCCTTACACGGCTTTGGATGGTGTGACTCTGCTCTATAAAGTTCGTATGCTTGGCATCTCACTGCCTGTATTCTTCACACCAGGCTGAAACAAGTCCAGCCGTAAAGTGCTTTGAAGATCAGGTGGTGGAAAAGACATAAAAAGTATTGATCGGCCCCAGGAATCTGCCTGTATTCCTCCTCCTCCTCCTGTGTATTACAATGTTATACATTATTTTCTCTGTTTTCTCTTCCCATCGGCTGGTTCTTATAGTTCTTTTATGTCCTCCTATCCTGCCAATACAATTGTCTTCTCAATCGTTGTTTCCACACTGATCTAAACAATCTCTGAATACACCTCCTTTCTGCTAACACACGAATCCTGTGTTGCCTCGTAGTATTTTGATTTTTCTGAACAGCTCCATAACTGTCAAGTGGACTCCACTTCTGTCGAAAAGAGCTGGAGTAACGGTTCGGTTAACCAGGCTACAGCATCCTGAATACAGCGATTTAAATTATTGTTTCGTCCTGTCTGCAATGGATGCATCCTTAAGGGCCAGAATGTAAAATAAATTGGGGAAATAAGCAAAATCCAAAAAAAGAGTTTTTCTGTGTGTGCCCTTCCCTGGGATTTTAACCACGTTATGGGTTAAAATATCAGAAAGGTCAAGGTGGATCAGACCAGGGGGCAATGGCAGGAAAGCCAGGAACCCTTTTAGAACCAAACCGGTGGAGTTTTGCAACCTCGCATGCTGACTCTCGAAGGTGTCGTTGGAAGGGAACCTTTTCGGGGCTGGGATGACTGTCAATCACTAACAGCATTAAACAATAGATCCTTCCCTACCTCTGAATTCAAAGAGAGCCCCTTCTCGTTATATCTCTTTCCCTCTCCTCTGTCTGTTGCAAGCCCTTAGCGAATCTGTTGAAACCTGCTGCTCAAAGCAGCCACGTTTCTAGCTTGCTGGTACCTGCTCACTGTATGTAAATGGCACCTTTTATTCGCCTTCCTACTTATGTCAGTGAGTTATTTAAACTGGACATACCAGTGGGTGAGGAAAAAGGGGGGGTTGTGGAGTAAATTTTGGGGACTGGAAGCTATTCTGCTCTGTAAATCTCTGGACTTCTGCTGCACAGATGGAGGAATTCAACCCAAACTCAAAACCGGGCAACTCAAACTTCCCGAGTTCCCAAGCTGGCATGACCGACAGTCACGTTAGCTAGGGAATTCAGGATCAGCAATCCAAAACCCCCCAGTGTTTCTGAACTCTGAACAGAGTCGTGTTGGAAGCCCGTATGTAGGGCAGAGCAACAGTCGCGCTCTCCCGCTCAGCTGCCCAGCCCGGTGGTATAAATCATTCATTATCATTTCAATTGCTGACCTTAATCATGATAATTTTTGCAATGGGTTTTATATTTATATCCATTTTCTCCAGCCTTTCTGCACTCCCATGTTTGCAGGTGCATGCTAAAATGGCCTCGGTACCCATAACGACAGAACAAGCAAAGAGGCACTGCATTATTCAAACGATGCATGTTGTTTGTTCGCAAGGCATATAGTAATAGCTCTAAATTAGCTTTCATTTGCTGATAGGAGAATGTTCCAGAAGAACAGGCAGCTGGTATTATATAGTGCATTTATATCCCATTTTTCTTCCATCGTGGCACTCCACTTTGATTTGACAAAGGGACTTCTGTTTTTCTCCAATGGGATTTTTTTAAAAAGTGAAAAACTAGGCAGACGTAAAGAGACAGGAGGTCTTATGCAATATAGTCAATTTCAGAATAAGTGGATCATTTTTAAAGTAGGCATCATTTAACTTTTCTTTTTTTAAAAAAATAAACAGTATTTAAGATCTAAAGGTAGCAGCGAGTCTAGCTAATAGTCTGGAGTGGTAGATGCGGACTACAGTAAGCATAATCGAGGGGGATTATGGGAACGGAGTACGAAAGGATCATAATTCCAAGCCCTGCTGGTGATCGTCCCTGCCATTCTGAAAAACTAGGGCCCTCAAATCTGGCTTTTAGGGCAAGGTTCAGAGAGCAGGCAACCCTAATTATTTCACATGTAGATACAGTAGTGTCGTGTTGAGGTTAATTGCGGCTCGTGAGAAACAGATTTGTGCCCCCTGCAGAGTTTACACGGTTGCCGTTCAAATCTGCACACACCTTAAATATTGCCATGTTTGTTTCAAGGAGAATCGATCCCCTGCCCAAACAATGGGGTTTTTTTTGGAATACAACTCCCTGACCCGAAAAAGCTTCTCAAACATGGAGAGTTTGCTAGATTTTGAATAGGTGTGTTGAACCAGCTGCCGTTTGTTGATCATGGCTCTGGCTTCGTCTCCTTTTGCTTCCTGAAATGTTTCAGCCAGTTTTCTGCTGAGCTTAGAAAGTTACTCTTCCAAAAAAAAACCACATACTATTCCAAAGTCATTCCATCCTGTTGCTCACAGCGTTCATAAATAAATTCTTCTGCAGTGTCGTTGCATTTCTGTTAGGCGCATGACTGTCTTAATTTCTGCAGGGGAACCCCCTTTGGGCGGATGAGACGATGATATCTAAACTGAATCATCCTGTCCAAAAGTTCCTTTTAATAGTAACTCCTGAAGGTAACTAGGGAACGGACAGTTGCATCAGTAAAGTAACTTTATTCCCCACTCAGTACTTTTGAAGTGTGACGTCTTACAATGTGGCAATCACAGCTCACCTCACTGCAGCTTTTTCCTGTTATCTGTTTCTTCGTCACTCTGATATTTCCCTTAAAAAGGAGACTGAAATTCAGAGCAGTACGGAGGTTCATAGCGCATCCACCAATTCTAGTCTGCACGTACTTACAGGTTTCCAGAGCATTTAGTAAAATCCAAATTGCACTCCGCCCTGCAGGCATAATTAGGGGATGCCATGTTACACCGATGCAACATATTGAGCCAGTAAGTGCCAGTGGATGAGAAAAAGGGGGTGGTCTACTCTGGGAAACTTGAAGTTATTCAGCCCTGCCTTTCTGCTGCACAGCTCGAAGAATTTAACCAACAATTCAAAACTCTTGCATGACCTCAGAGGAGCTTGGCTCTATTGGAGACAGCTTCTGTCTTTGCCCTTTGCAAGATCCAGAAGCCTGCCAAGGGGTGCATAGTGATGAAAAGAGTGCATGTCTCTTCCAAGAAGCGTTTCCAGGCAAGATCCAGTCTTGCCTCGTTTGGGGTTGCTGGTGTCACGGCTCTTGCTGTGATCTTTTTTCTTCCAGGTGGCAACTTTGGAGTATTGCTTCAAAGAGAAGGCAGGGACTGGCTCTGTCCCTTCCTCCTTCTCCTAAATACCACTTATAACTTCATAACAACATTAGCTGCAGAAGGTTAAACACCATTTGCTCCCCATTTCTAAGGAAACACTCGAGCCCTCACTAAACACGGCGGCCAGTTTCTAAGAATCTGAACCAACTTGCCTGGCGGCGTTTCTGCTGCTAACATCCAGGCGGTTGCAACTTGTTTCCCCCCTTGCAGGAACCAGCAGAAGGTGGTTCCGTCGGGCTTTTTTCCTGCGTTAACAAGAGACACCTAGCAAAATCAGGCCTGGGTGCAAAGACAGTGCCAATGTAGAGCAGAGCAGAGGGCTTTGGATGAGGGCTGAGAAGGCCTGGGTTCAAATCCAATGGAATTGTCATTCGAACAAGCGACATGTCTGGAAACGACCACAGGAGAAGGGTTCAGTTGTTTGCATATTGAATTTACATGGTTAGACTACATACAAACCACAGATTTCATCGGTTCAACACACTTTTGCAGCCCCCACCCCCCCCCATACAACCTCTTTAGGATGTAAAGTTTAAGACATATTAATGGGAGAAGGGTGTGTCAAACCAAGCCCCCTTTCAGTCTAACGCTCTCATCCTTCCTCTGCCATTTCTACCTTCACCTCCTCCCCCCTCTGGACCTTCTGATCTCCTTGGGCATTTCCCTGTTTTTTTCAAAAAAAAAAAAAGAGTAAAGACTCCTTCTGGCAAATAGAAGGGGAAGATATGGAGGCACTGACAGATTTTACTTTCTTGGGCTCCATGATGAATGCAGATGGGGACACCAGCCACGAAATTAAAAGACGCCTGCTTCTTGGGAGGAAAGAGATGACAAACCTAGGCAGCATCTTAAAAAGCAGAGACATCACCTTGCCAACAAAGGTCCGCATAGTCGAAGCTATGATTTTTCCAGTAGTGATGTATGGAATTGAGAGCTGGACCATAAAGAAGGCTGACCACCGAAGAATTGATGCTTTTGAATTGTGGTGCTGGAGGAGACTCTTGAGAGGCCCCTGGACTGCAAGGAGAACAAATCTATCCATTCTGAAGGAAATTAAGCCTGAGTGCTCACTGGAAGGACAGATCCTGAAGCTGAGGCTCCAATATTTTGGCCATCTGATGAGAAGACTCCCTGGAAAAGACTCTGATGTTGGGAAAGTGTGATGGCATGAGGAGAGAAGGGGACGACAGAGGATGAGATGGATGGACAGGGTCATCAAAGCCACCAACATGAATTTGTTACCAAATTCCGCAGGAGGCAGTGGAAGACAGGACGGCCTGGCGTGCTCTGGTCCATGAGGTCACGAAGAGTCGGACACGACTTCACGACTGAACAACAACCAAGACTCCTTCTTCCCGCTTCCCCCTCCCACATACAACTCTTCTTTCACAATAAATAAATAGAAACCAGAGCAAAGCCTTGGGGGACTTAATTATGTGTCACAATGGCATTTCTGAGCGGGTGTGTCGGTGGAGACCGGTATGTCAGTGCCACCACCTAAGCCTCCGCTCTCTGTTCTGCAGCTATTTATTGGAGCAATAATTATTTTGAACTGCCTGCTGTCTGAGATTGAGATTAATTAGTTCCCAGGCAGCTGGAGTCGGTTCATACCTGCCTCCATTAATCATGTGGAGACCCAGCCACTGAAAGAAAGCACCCAGCGCTCAGAGAATGGCATACAATTCATGGATGGAAGGAAGGAAGGAA